TAGTATCCTAAGGGTCCTTGACCCTCTTTCTGTTGAGAACGTCAATGGTAACGCTGAGAAAATCACTTAGTCTAGCTAATGTAATTATGTAAGCGTGCATGAATTTAAACGCTGGATAATTTTGCTTTTCTTTTAAACCTCATATTGTGATTGGGTTTGCTGAGATTGTTGAATTAAATAATCCAAATTACTGAAACAAGGATTTATGATTTAGAGGTACTCTTTGATTAAAGACTAATACTCGGGTTGAAAGTGGTGCTATAGTGGTTCAAAGAGCCCATTTCCTTATTTTAAAATCATAGCATATGTTCAGGTTGATCTCTGAAATAATTGATCAGGTTCTAACATTGATGCCTTAACTTTTCTGTAAATAGAAAGAAAAATTAAATTTTGTTTTCAAACACCAAATTGAAAAAGATGAATCTGCTAATCTGGAATTCAGTGACAGATTAAAGATTATAGTCCAGATTTCAGGTATAAAGTTGGATGGTTGTCTTGAGTCTTGGAAAGAATCAAATGCAGGTTTGGGTTTTTTACTTTGGCACTATTTTTGCCATATTTGGCTAGAACTTTTCAACAAGTAGGTCTCATGTAGGATCATGTTTGTTTTTACATGTATGACACAATTCTTGTCCTTTTTCAGTATCTCACATTGCAAAAACCATGGGTATTTTTTGCCAAGCACAGCTGGAGTTGGCTTGTTTTGAAATGCATCAACTTGAAGTTTGGATGTTTCCAAAACCAGATTCCCTCCCATTTAAAGAAGGCTGGGTACTTGGTCTCTCTAGTTACTTACATGATCTGTGTCCAGGACTGTTGAGTTTCAGGGTTGAATTAACAAGCTGCTACTCATTAGCAGCAGAGCAGTAACGGTCTGCATCTTAAACCTTTGTGGCAAGTGTAAGATAATAAAATTTAGCTTAAATCTTGATCTCATTATGCCTTGAACTTGACTTACAGAGAATATGAATGTAAACAGTTATCACAGTCCAGCTGATGCGCCGTAACTTAATATGGCCCAAGCAGTTAATCACCATGTTCAAATTTTAAGACAACAATAAAACTTCCAACCGTTGGTCTCAAGTGATTCTCCTGTCTTTTTTTTTTTTTTTTTTTAATAATAGGAAACCTTCAGATTAACCAATATTCTCTTATTGGTAGAATCATTCGTTTCCATTTAGCAGAGTACTGTTATGGACATTTGGTATCTCTCCCACCTCTTTTTGGTTTTGTCTGTATTGATCTCAAATGAAGCTTGCTGACAATAGTGATGGAGAAATGAGGACTTCTTGTCTGATCTTTGAGTGACAGCCTTTGACAGAGGTGGTCTGGAATTATTCTTGGGGCCCATTTACGATTCTTGGGGTACATTTACACCTGTGTAGAAGTGTTGCGGCATAACATGATGCTGTTTTGTAGTTGAGTTTGCTGATTAGCTCTAAATTTAACTGTAGTTTTAAAAATTATTCTTATAAATTGCCTATAATAATAACCCCATCTGCATCCCATGGTTTTAATCTGTAAACCTGCAATGATGATTTTAAATAGCTTCTGTTCTTACCTTATGTCTGTTCTGTACACCTAGTATTCCTTTAATTAGGTGGGATCTGGGTTTTAACATAAATGCCATTCTCTAATTGGTGATTTTCAAGGCAGCTCTTGAAAAAGGAAACAGCTAGCTGCATTTGATAGTAGTTTAGGCCCATTAGACTGTTCAAGCCTACTGACTTTTTACAGTTGAATATATGCCTCTTACTGCTTGGATGTGATTTTTAAAAGTGTAGAGCAAAACACTCTCTACATATAGAAGATTCATATTTTCCTCATTGTTTTGAATTGTTTTCTAGGATTGTTTTAAAAAAATTGCACCAACACTAATTCCTGTATGTCATAGTAAGCTGTCATTCAGCTGATTTGCATTTTTAGTGTAAGTTTTTGTGTCTTCTTTTTCAGAATCCACATCTGTCCTCACTGATTTCAGGGGGAACAACCTTTGAAGTGCCAGTTACAAAAGCCATTCAGCTCAGTAGAGAAGATGCGATAAAAACTGCATTGCTCTTAGAACTTGATATTGCAGTAAGTTAGTGATGGCTTTTTCTTTAGTGAGTTAAAATAAAGGGTCAAAAGCATGTGTGTGTTATGAGCAATAACTGGGAGGGGGGGAATTTATTTATTTGACTGTTAAAAATAATTCCCCAGGATGTCATGTTAGGCTGATCCATTTTGAAAATGCAAAGCTTGTTTTGTTCACTCCATGGAAGTCAAAAAGAAAGAAAGTGTCAAATTAATTTCTTTGTTGTTCCATGGATATTGTATTGACTGAAATACCTTTTTGAAGGGAATTTGCAATGGAGAAAGGCAGGCAGGGAATACTGAAAATGAATAATCTTTCAGTTTGTATGTATACAATTTAGGAATATTCAGAAACTGTATAGTAAATTGTGACTATTCCTTGTGGTAGCTAATCTACACAAGTAATAACTTGACTTGTATGGTCAGTTGATAAGAATCCTTAGCTCTGAGCACTGTTTCTGCCTCTGGCATTCATTTGCACTGACTTGTTAACATACTACTCAGACTGTCAACCTCTGGTACCCTAGATGTAAAAAATGGTTTATTCAGGGAAGATCATGTTTTGTATACTGGTTTGAAGATGAAAGGCAGAGAGTGCTTGATAGTACTTTACAAGAAATCTTTAAAAGGAAAATATGTTGCTTCTGATCGGCTTTCCAAATGTGTAGAATATTGCCTTTGGGCAATATTATCATTTTGGCAGTAACTTTTATTGGACTCTCTTAGCCTAAACTGTCCATATCCATGGGTCATCTTTAAATCTCAGTTATAAGTAGAGTCTGTTAAATTTTGAGGAACTGAGTCTCTGAGATGACATGGTTTTTTGCATATATTTGTCATCAGCACCCACTGAAAATTTGAACACTTTTTGCCTTTTTCGTAACATTCTCAACAGTCTGTGTATGCAGGTCACCTCACCTGATGCATAAGGAAAACATAATGATGAAAGTATAATTCTGTATGTTCCTGTAACAGGCAGAACCTTGAGTAGGGTTTCAGCAGTTGCGCTGAATGAACTAAGTAGAATCTAAGGTCTTAAGATCCGAGGTACCTTTTCATTTTCTCTTTGCTCTTCTCTTGCTGTTTTTCCTTTTCCCTCCAGAAAATAAAAACAGTTGGGGTCATTTCAGTCAGTTCATCAAATAGTTTAACCAGCAAATTTTCTTTTAGTGATAATGTATCTATATACAAAATTGCATTAATTATAAGGACTTCATTTCTCTGCTCTTCTCAAACCAGGAAACAAAGTACATCAGTAATTAATGATCTGGGCTGATTTTTATAACACATCCTCTTAATATGTACTTATTTTCCTTCTGTTTAGACTGCTCAGCAGCTCTTACTAAAGAATGTCCAAATATTTAAACCAGATAAGGAAAGATTTTTCTAATCAGTAAGGTTAAGCCTGGAAAGAAAACATGAGTATTTTGTTTCTGATGTGCTCCGAAGAGTGAAGTGCTAGTACAGAGTAAAAGAACATACAACTTCACGTGACTGCGGTAGTAGGAAGATCATTGCTAAGAATGGGGATGCTATTGGCTTTGGTTTGTGATACAATTTAATAGAAATTATCTCATATTTTAAAACAGAATACAGTCTTTGACTACCAACCTGGAGATGCCTTCTGTGTAATATGTCCCAACAATGTCAATGAGGTGGAAGAACTTCTTCGCATCTTGGGACTTTCTGAAAAAGGAGAATACTTCGTTTGTATTAAGGTTAAGCAAGGCACTAAAAAGAAAGGTATGGTGTGATGTACTGGTCATGAAAAACTACTCCTTTCTGTGTTGGCAGTAGTTGGTATGTATAGCTTTGAAGGTTTTTATCTTTTGTATTGGGGGACAGCTGTCGTTTCATGGAGGCATGCTGGATGTCACAGAGATGTGTTAAAAAAGAGAGGATGCATAGAATGCTGCTGCTGGTTTTACTACAGATGAGTTAGCTTCTGACTGGGAACTTGAGCATGGCATTGGCGTTCATCCATCTCGTTCTTCCTCTGTGCTCCTTCATGTTTATGGAGATGAGTCTTTAATCACATAACCTAACAATCCCGGACTTGAAAGTAAAATATCTCCTTGCACAGCACTTCACATCAATCTGTTTTACATCCTAAGAGAGCCGCACTCCTGAAGCAGAAGAATTAGTGCTGCTGCAAGGTGCCTTTTAAGGGGCTTGTAGGTCTGTGTGGATCTGTTCTGGTGAGTCTTACAATCTCACTCCCAGAAGGGGCAGCTGCAGGTTCAAGGTATGCCTGTGTACTGCCAGCTGGACCTGTGAAAAATACCCTTCTCTTGCCTTGCAATTGGTGTCTTAATGGTGCTGCTGGGTTGTGCCTTTAGTTCCGCAAGGTGGGGTAGGGCTCTTTGTTGTTCCAGTCTGGGTAAATCAGTTCCCATGGCGAGATTCCCTGCATCATTGAAGGCAACATAAGTTGTCCCTTAAGTATGAGATGTAAAGGGACTCCTGTTCTTGGAATTGGTGACTAAATCACTTGTTAGTGAGGTGAGTTTACATGACAGGCCATTTTGTAATCTATCATATGGGATGTCCAGGCCCAGCTGATCCTCATCCTTGACCCCCACTCCAGTAACTAACCTCCTCTGGGAGGGGTCACTGGTTAGATGTGGTGCAGAGCTAGTATCAGTTACAGCCTGGTCCCTGCACCGGGGATGAGCCCTGCATCTGCAGGGCTTGTCTGACTGTTACCCAGCACCGCTGTGCTGAATCCCCTCCCCCTGCACCCCACCCTCTTGGGGAGCCCCCATTGTCCTTGTTCCTCTGGGACAGATGCCCTCCAAACACACCTGCTTCCCATCCACCCTCCCCCCCCCAAAAAAAAAGAAAAAAAGAAAAGGTCCCAGGAGGGTCCCAGCTTTGTAACAGTCTCCCTTTGGATTAGGGCCAGTCCTGAGCACCCTGAAGCTCAAAGCAGTGTCACCCTGTCCAGGGCCCAACAACCACACACAGGCAAGCAGCAAGAGATTGGGTGGTGTGGGGGGATTTCACAGGTGTGCTACTTCTACTGTTTACACTATTTACAGATTTTACAGAATAAAGTGCATTTACAAAGGAAGCAAATAAAAGGGAAGGGTATAATGAAGGATGAGGTAATGGAGAGCCAAAAGCATCAGGTCTTCACAGGAAGGTGGGCTTGAAATTTTGTCCCTCCTGAAGGCTAGTAGGTTTTTCTGTGCAAATAGGAGCCCTGCTACCTGGCCGCATAAAATCTGAGTATGTAAGTTAAAGACAGTGTCAGCAGCATGTTCAGAGTGAAGGTCTTCTAGAGAGAGATATTGTCTCCTTCCTGCCTACAGTAGTTCCCTTTCTTCTGCTATACTGGTCTTGCAGGAAGGACATAAAGCTGCCCTAACAGGGCACTTGGAGTTCATCATTGTCAGAGCACTTCCCATGTGGAACAGAGCCTTTATAGCCAAGTGACCATAACTTAGCCTCTTGATTGTTCTTGTATACCAAAAAAACTGTCCTTCTAATGCACAGTTGGTAAAAATAATTGAGTGAAACTTGGAATATCAGTGTTCTCATCCTGTGTGTAAATAATCCAGTTTACTGCATCTTTGGCTGCCTAATGTAGCACTAATCAGGGAAAAAAGGTTAAATTATGCATTATTTGTGCAATGGTTTGCCATATCTTGTATGTAAAATGGCATGCCTGTTTGTGAATCTTAATGAATGATAATGGAAAGGAGGATCATAGCACTGGATTGCAGCACAGAGAATCAAAGTTCTTGGCTCTGCTCTCGAGTCTTCTGGGTGACCCAGAGCAAATCATGCTGACTTTTTACACTTGCCTTGGATACTTGTCCAGGACCTAGCAAGTTGCTGCTGATCCACTGATCTCCATGGCTTGTACCGCTGACTTCCCTCTGCTGCAGTTATGAAATTAAATGGTTTAGCATCAAACCCAAGTTCATTTCTTTGGAGCTGTGCTGATGATCAGAGACTTGTTAAGTTGCTATAACTTAATTATTTGGTGCCAGTCTGTACCAAAGAATTCACCTCTATAATGCAGCTTTGCAATTCCTAGCAATGTTCCAGGGTTGCTTTCCTTTCGAGGTGGTTGTCTCTTAACTGCATTCAGATTTCTGAGGAATTTGTAATAGTTAGTACAAACTGTTATGGTTGTGGGTTTACTGAATGAAGAGAGGTGAGAAACCTGGGAGAAGAGTATGAGCAGCAGGCTATGCCTCTGCTGCATCCTCAAGATTTACCAGGAATTCCACTGAATTTTGTTCACAGCCTTTCACAGCCAGTGCTTTTGGGGTTAAATTAAATAGATGCTTTAGCATGACATGGCATGGGGCCAATAAACCTGGCTGCACTCTACCTGACTCTGACGGGATAAATGGGATGCCAGTGTACCTCCTTCCCAGAAACGGAACCTGTGAAGAGTACAGGAGGGATTATTTGCTTGTACAGAAACCCCTTGGATCTGCTGGGCCTCAGAAGCTCCAGCTTGGCACTGGCTTGCATACACCTTTGGTTAGATCATTAGAATACTTCAGTATGTTCCGATTGTCAGGAGCACTCATTGATGGAGGGGAAAAAATATGGATGTTCCTTTTCCTGGCAAGCATGCCTCTGAATGTCTTCAAGGTGGAAAGTGGCAACAAAGCCTTGAGTAGTTTTGTGATGAAATTTATTTGAACATTCGTGTATTATACCACTCTTTTTGTCTCCTGCTTTCCTGATAAGTTTTGACTTTTCATTGGAAAATTGCCATCAATACTTCATTGGAAAACTGTCTTGCTGTTTAGTTTATAATTTCCACTAACCAGCTGGGGTTCAAATTTACAGAATTGAATACAGTTTAGCTCTGTTTTATTTCTTGAAGGAACAAGCACTCTGTGATGCCATTTTTTGGATATTAATAGATGCACATTTTGTTTTGTTTTTTTCTGCCGCTGAACTAGGAGCAGCTCATCCACAACACATCCCCGAAAGAAGCACTCTGAAATTCATTCTAACCTGGTGTCTGGAAATAAGAGCAATTCCCAAAAAGGTGTTTATGTGTTTGTTCTTTTAAAGAGAAATCCTTAGTAATTCTATGCTGTATGGGCTCTTACAGATCTGTCCTTGCTTTGTATGTAGGTTCTTGGTGAATAAGGATTGTCAGTTTGTATGCTGCTGTTTGTACTTTATTCTGAGAAATTTCACTTCTGGTGCTTTATCTGGAAAATGATGAGATACCAAGATCTCTATTCCTGTTCTGCAGTACCTTGATTCATAACTAGTCTGGAAGTAAATAGAAACGTATTAGATATTTGGTGCCAGGTAACTGGAAGGCTGACTAAACCTGGCTCCATAGGCATTTTAGAGATACCATTCTTTCTAATCAGAGGGAGCCATATCTGTCAAGTTTTGTCACTGAAAATACACCTGTTGCTCTATATAAACATACCATAATGTCTTTTAAATTATTTTGAAGCTTTTCTTCAGCATTTCAGTAACCTGGCAGGATTCAAAGAAAGATTTTTGCTTGTATAGTATTTATTCTGACAACGTGTGAATATTATTTTCCTTTCATTCTGTGCCTACAAAAAACTGGAAGCTTGCAACTGGAAATGCATGTGTATTTCTGGTATTGTCAAAACACATTTTAAAAATAACTTTGTATAAAGGGTGAAGCTAAACAGCTGTGTTGGTTGGGTCTCTGAGGGAAATCAGTTTTTGGAAAGACCTTTTAACTCAATTTAGTGGATTTTGTAGCAGAAGAGAAGAGAATTTTCCAATTGCTTCAACCTTTTCAAAACTGCATTTAACAATTTTGAAAATTTTCTCAATAACAAGAGTAGGCAGAGAGTGCTGGCTGGAGAGTATCACCCAAGCCAGTTTTTATAAGCTTTCTGCTTTATTACCTGTTCAGTGTAGAATGTGCTTTATCTAACTCGGTACTCAAAACTATTGTCTAGAAGCTCAGTGTTTGAGCACGCTCAAACTACTTTCCAAGTATTCTTTTGTGTAGAATATGTCATCTGATTGCACTTGGTGTTTTAGATCACTTTTCTTCTATGCACTGTGTCTATTTCCACCTTGCTTTTGGAAGAAAAACTTGTAACTATTTACATCTAATTTTTACTTTATCTTACAATGCTCAATTTAATTTTCCCGTAAAGAAGAGCTTGCAATACCATTATGTAGACATAAAGTATGGAATAAAACACCACAGTGACATTTACATGACTCATTAAATACCATAATTTATTTACAGTAATACCTCTTCTAAGACTTCTTATTTTTCCTTTCCTGGCTTCTGTAACTCAGCAAATGGTGTTTTGTCTCAAATTAAATTGTGTTATGGAGCTGTTTATATAACTAAAGTGCAAAAACATAAATAAGAAAGCCTTTCGTAAATTTGGGATTTTTCAGGGAATGGATTGTGCCTGTTTATTTGTCTCTCCCCTGCTCAGGCTAAGTAGGATTTTCTGACCTGCTAGCTTGTCCCAGATATTAGAAGAGCAGCCAAAAAGAAAAAGAAACAAAAAAAAAGAAATGTAAATTTTTCATAGTAGGTGAAAGTGTGCATTGGGAAATAAATTGTATTATCCATTAACCTCTGAGGTGACTGCTTCCTGTCCCCAGGCATCCCAAGTATTTCCCAGATTTGTGACCATTTATCCAAATGGACAAGGTTTTTTACCCTTTGCTCTTATTATCTTCCCTGCAGGCATTTTTGCGGGCTCTTGTAGAATGTACTAGTGATGCAGGAGAAAAACGGAGGCTTCAGGAGCTTTGTAGCAGACAAGGAGCCTCTGATTACACACGCTTTATTAGAGATTCTAATGTTTGCTTGCTGGATTTACTTCATGCTTTTCCAAGCTGCAAGCCTTCACTTAACCTGTTAATTGGTAAGTGACTGATTTAGAATTAATTAGATTTGGTTTCTGAAAATGCGTCAAACTAAATGTTCAGTTTTCCAAGAAAGGGGAATAACTGTTCAGTAAACTAAAACTATTGTTGGGGAAGAAAGCTCTGTTCTCCAGTTTGTAGTCTTTTGCCTTCATTCTGCAAACACTTGGGTACATACATATGCTTCAGTTGACTCTGGATTGTTCCTGTGTCTTAAAAACTAATCATAAAGGTTTTGCAGGATTCTGATCTTTAGGAAACAGTTCAGCAACTGCTTACAATTAAAAAAGACATATTTTTGCAACTCCTGATTTCCCTGCCTACATGTTCTTCTCTTGCACTTTTACCTGTTAAAATGGAAAGCTTTTCCCAGTATATTTGTATTTATGTAATGTCCAACACGCTCAGTGGGTTCCTTATATAAAACATTGAAGGAATAAGACTCCAACTGTAACCATTTCAAATACATCTGAAAATACTGGCAGTTATTTTCCAGATTAAAAACCCCAGAGTTTCTTAATATGTTTTGTTATATGAGACAAAAAAAAATGCTTTTTATGTTCTTGCAGTCGCCTTCTCCATGTCTGCCCCAAATCTCTCCTCCTTAGTACAGTGTGGGGATTTAAAAAAGTAAATACAAGCTCTGCTCCACTTTCTACAAAGACATGAATTTTCACAGTGAAAGCAAAACCACTTAGCTTTTCAAAGGTGATATAGAACGGGCTGTAGCAACTGAACTGAATAAAAGGAAATTTTGAAAGTTTTTTTTAACACCCCTCCCCAGGGACGTAATGTGCTGCATGGGCTTAGTGTCGTCTTTAAGTGATTCCACTGAACTAGCTTTCCTTAAGTCTGACTAGCAACGATCTTACGTAGCAGAGCATCTTCAAAATATGTCAAGGTATCCATGTACTGGTTGGGACATCTGCAAAAGGGCAGTACATGTGGAAAAACAGCCAAAAAGCAATTAAACTGTGTGTTACCCTGTTACTCCAGGGTATGTATGTTTTCTGGTATTTGCTATGCCCGGTTTTTCTGGTATTGCTCACTTATTGTCACCATTCCCCACCATATTGTTCACTTGGTGATATGTCTGGCTTCTTTTAATATGCCCTTCTTCTCAGCCAAAATGTGCAGTCTGCATGCAAGTCATTCCTTTGAAGACACCAGCGAGTTTGACCTTTTTGTAAATGTACATACATATGTAGATATAAGTGATATACATAGTGGGTTTCTTGTTGATAAAATGCCCGGTAAACTCCTGTTTCTGTTGGTTTTTTTTAGCTGTGATTTCCAGAATTTGCACAGGTACTCATAGTGGTTTGCAATTGAATTGGCACATCTGCTTCTAGGACGTTATATATAGGAAACTTCCAACCAAGCAATTCGTATTCTGAGAGCATTTGAGCTCTTACATGAGAGGTGGGGAAAATTAAATTTCAAGTTTCACCTTGTCCACTAGGTACTGGCATCTCTTCTGTGCACTTTACAGTTGTTTTTAATTGACCAAGAACCCCAATAAGTTAACTGTTGTGGTCTCATTTTATAGGATCTCCAACAGAAATTCCACAAAGTCTAAAAAAAATCAAAAATAAAAGTCCAAGTCTTAATAGCTTATTTCTGAACCACAAGCACTGAATTTTAATAGAGTACAATTATACTTGAATTATAATATGCTTGTAATCTGTTGTTATATGAGACATATAAGTCATACAAGACACTCATATGATATTTTCATTTTCATTGGGGTGAATCAAATAATAAGTGATGTGTTCTTTTTATTTTTTATTTTTCAGAACATCTTCCTAAATTACAAGCCAGATCCTATTCGGTATCAAGGTAATGAAATATTCAAATTATATCTCCTTGGTAGTTTAGGTATGCTTTTTTCTCAAATGTGTGTGTGTATGTTATAGTCTAAAGAAGAAAGGAATAAAGGATAAAACCTGAGGAAAAAGTGATTGTGTCCCTGTTGCAAAAAACTACAGGGTTTGACTATTTCAAACGGCATTGTTTTGAGTGTCTGGCAAGACTTTGGTAGAGTTCTTAAGAACAAGCTCATACACATGTAGCTGGTAGAAATTTGGATTCCCTTCTATAGGCACTGGCCTCTGAATCCTTAAGATGTTTTCTCCCTATATATAAATACCACACAGTTAGCTCAACACTGAGAATCTTTATTCAATTCAGGTGGTTTGGGCTGCAGATGAGCCTGCTGTAAGATTGTACAGCTATCTCTCAGGTTTGGTTTGGTTTTTGGTTTGGTTTTGGTTTGGTTTTTTTTTTTAATACTTTTGGTCTTTGCAGTTCCAACTTATATCAGCCAGGAAAACTGTGGTTTCTGTTTAATATTGTGGAGTTCCCTGCTTGTCCTGCTAGACCAGTCTCACGGAAAGGAGTATGTACAGGGTGGCTTGCTGAGTTAGTTGCACCTCTACTGCACCCCAATAACAACACTCTGGATACAAAAGGAGGAAGCTCTTTGACTGAAAAGGTATGAATATTAGATCTAAACTCCTTAACCATTAAATTTATGCATTTCAAAACAACTGCAGATTCCTTTGCTCACTGCTCTGATGCAATGTGGGTGTTTTGGCAGTATACACCTTCATTTTGCAGTTCTACTGTACCTTTAAGTTTACCCTGCCCTCTGTAACACATCTAGAACTTCATTGCTAAGTTGCTAAACTTATATTTTACTTTATCTATGGATACCTGAGTTGTGAAACTTCCCATTGCTGAAAGGCCAGAGTTGTTTTCCACCCCACTGTAGTTCTAAGTGAGTCTTGGAGGATGTTTTCATGGACTAAAATACCACTGTGCAATTGAATAGTTATGCCTGTTAGCACTGCAGGAGAGAGGCACTTGGCCATTTGCAGAAAAGGGTGGCAGATAATAGGGGAGAAATCATCAAACTCGCTTCTTGTCAGGACTCTCATGGTTTGCAAAGGCCAAGTTTCTGAATACTTAAAAGATCAAACATGAAAAAGAGAGTTGGAAAAAAAAAAAAGGATTATTACAAAATGAGTCTGAATAAAGTTCAGAACTATTTGTATCTGCTGTGCAAGCTAGAATTCAGCACAGACAAGTGCGCAGCAGTACACATAGATTGCAGAAATATGTGGAACAAAATAGATGAATGTGGTCTTATGCAAAAATACGTTAGATTAATTAAAGACACTTTATAGTATAAATGTGTTTACCATTTGCAGTACTTTTTAAAGGAATGACCAGTTTGGAGTCATTACTGGGGAAAATAGCCTCCTAACTCAAGTGTGGTTTGAAGTAGTGAGTACAACAGAAATATTGCCCCCACCAGCAAGAACTATACTGATTTTTTAACATCATGAAACCAGAAAAATAGTCCTGTTGAATGTTGTAGTATCTGTAGTGAATTAAATTATAAGAAACAAGTAGTGCTAAACCACTGTTACAGAACAAAGTTTAAATAACTTGGTCTAGTGCTTCACTCCTTCCTTAAACTTTGTCACGATCCACTATTGGGTTGAACAATTTGGCAGAGGTTAAACCCCCTTGCTTTCCAACCGACCTCAGATAATTCTGGGAGGTTGGGGGCGGCTGGGCTTAACTTCTGATTAATTCCAATATTTTACCGTGACTAAGGTTCCTTTTACATTCTCGGAAACAGAATTAAGACTCGAAACGGAGTCAAGTGCCAAGTCACTTTATTCGGCCAACAATAAACGCGCAAGAGAAAAACAGAGAAAGAGAGGAAAAGCGAGGAAGGGAGAGAGAGGGGGAGAAACAAACAGCACAGGGGTGTTGCGATAGCTGCCACCACGGGTCTATGTGCTGTCTGTGCGGCCTGAGCGATCCATGCAGTCCGTGGGGCGCATGCCCAGTACCGTCATTAAGAGTATGCTCGAAAGTCCTAGGGGGTCCGAGCCCCCTCCCCATTGCCAGTTAACTCTGGGCCCGGGCGCATGCGCAGAGGACGTACTCCAAGATAACCGGCCACACATTCCTGTGGGGTGGGACCCAATGGGCTGAAACTGCCCCACTCAGTTGCCGTGGTGATTAGGCTTTGGTGGTTAAGCTTGCCTGCCACCAATGTTGAGACAAGCTTCTAGTCCCTTACAAACTTGAAAGTAAATTCAAATCCTTTCATAATTAATATGCAAAATGAATCAGATGTTTGCTTATGACTTTAACGCATGAAGCTCTGCTATGGCTGCTGCTGAGTCTTGAATAATCTTTAAAAGCATTAAAAATAGTCGTCTCTCATTTTCTATACATTATGTTAGCCATACCTCAGAGAACAGTTGTGAAGCTCCTATGAAAATTATATTTATGTCCTCTCAGGCAGATCTGAAGATCAGAATTAGAGTTTATCGGTGGAATAATATAAACCATTTTCCAAGATCTTTGAGCAGTTATCTGCCTCCCCTCAGCCATATGCATTTTTGGAGATTTTGTAAAACATTTATGAAAATTAAGAAAACAAGCTCAGTATCAGTAGGCTTCAATTTACTAGAAACACGTCCTCACCTCCACTGGAATATTTTCAGATGTCCACAATGTAAAAAAAAAAAAAAAGGTTGAGTTGCCTATAATAGCAATAAACTAGCTTTTGCTTCCCTTTGAGTACCAACACCAAACTTTCCATGAATTCTGTAACAGTATTCCCTAAATTTATGATGCAGTCAACTTTCATATTCAGATACTCATGTTTGTGTTGTTTTCCCTGGTTTTCCTCCAGGTGGATTAATAGGTTTGTAAATACGGTGTATTTTCTTTCAGAAACTCATGTGGAATTTTATTCTAGATGTTTGTGTTTCATCAAAAATAAACTCTGAAGCTCAGAATTTAGAAGGCTGTGTGGACACATAGAACATGTAAATATCCTGGGGATTCTAAAAATTTCATGGCATTTTCACTGCTTAAGAATATTCTTCAATTGTACTCTATCTATTTTCACTTTAGATATCTATTTTTGCTCGTCCAAACAATACCTTCCACTTACCTGCAGACCCATCTGTCCCGTTCATGATGGTTGGTCCAGGCACAGGAATTTCCCCGTTTATTGGTTTCCTACAACATAGGTATGTACCTAGTTCCTACCTGGGAAGCAGTCTTTTTATGTTGCGGAAAACACAGCCTCAGGTTTTGACTACAAATGCAGTTAATCTTTTTTTTTCTTTTTTTTTTTCTTCTTTTCACTTTTTCTATGAATGGTATGCTGATTAGAAACAGTCTTACTAATTTTAAACAAGCAGTTCTTGTGTATTTGTTTTTCAAATGAGTAAAACTTACACTTTCATCTGACTGTATGTAATATCCATAATGGATATGTTAGGAATTGGGTGAATTGGAGAAACAGCAATAAGAAATGAAATCCTTTATCTGTGTGTGGCTAGTGGAAGTCCTGTAAGAGGTCAGTGGTTTTTAGAAATAGTGTTGATTGGCCTGAATTTGGTATTCAAAATGCATTTCCTTCAGAAGTAGCATCTATATTAAAAGCCTTGACATGATGAATGTCGAGTTTTCTCCCACATTCCCTTATTTCTGTATGTTTACACATTTTGATGTTTTAAAATGAGGAGCTTGGCACCTGAACCCTCAACTGGGAAGCAGTCTTGGGTTTTGTGTGTTTGTATTTGAGAGAAGGTAGATCCCCCTTTTTTTTTCCCCTTCCAACTCCAGCAGTGTGATTTTGCAAGGCAGAGAGATGCTTGTTCAAAAAGTGACAGATATGACATCACCAAGAATATGTAAAAGCATGATCGTTCAGAGAAAACGAAGAATGGGAAGAGTGGACTATTTGGGTGGGAATGGTTGCAAGTTTTATAAGTAACCAACACATATCATTCCTACATGGCTCATTAGTTCCAGCAAGATAATGGAGTTTCTTGCAGCCTGTAACAATTATTTTTAAACCATTTTATTTGAGAGAAAAGTGAAATTTTTACATGACATTTCTGACTCCATGCATCTGCTTTAACCAAATCATTATGTATAATCCTTACTCCTTAGTTTTAACTCCCAAATGTACCCTTATCTCTGAGAAATATTTTGCATTTTATTTTAAAGGATTCATAGCATTTCATAAGTATTTGATCAACAATAAATGAAGTATCTCTCTTGAAATGTAACTAGAAAGTTGCAGCTAAAACCCCTCTAAAGTAGTATGTTCGGCATTATTTCAAGAAAATGCAATAACTCTCCTGATGATGTGGTAGCTAAATAGATTGTTATTCATAAAGTCTAGCAGGTTTCTACAGCTAAATGGAAAGCATGCTAAACCTGCTTTGTGCTGAATTTTCCTAGACGTTTTTACAGGGCTTCCAGTGAAGGATAAAGGTTAGTGATCTCCTTCATCAGCAGTCAGGATTGTTTTGTGAGATGTTTGTGAGTGTCAGTCTTGACTATTCCAATATGAAACTGTGGCAAAAAAAAACCTCTTTGAGGGTTGATTGATTTTTGAGCTGGACCAAAAATGAGTAGCCAAGAAAATCAAAGAAGGAGGGTTTGACTGTGATTTACCTTAAGTCATTTCACGTTTCTGCCAATCCAGAGGTTTATTAAAGCACTATTTTAAATGAGAACTAGGTTATAGGCGTTTTAGATTCTGCACTTGATAAAACAGGATTTGAAATTTTTTTTTCGGTCTGTTTAGGCAAAAGCTCAGAGAAGAACATACAGACTGGGAATTTGGAGAGACATGGCTGTTTTTTGGTTGTCGGCATCAGGATCGAGACTATCTGTTCAAGTAAGTTCACTGTTTAGCATTGATTTTGTATTCATGAGGGAATGCTTGTCTCTGAGCCATTACTAACAGGTTTTATTGCCTTTCAGAGATGAGCTCAGATGTTTTCTTGAAAATGGCACGTTAACTCATCTTAAGGTTTGTTTCTCAAGAGACTCTTCAACTGCAGAAGTAGCGCCGCCCAAGTATGTGCAAGATGTCATTAGGCTTTATGCGATGAAAGAGACAGGTTACTTCTATGTGTGTGGGTGAGTAGAGTGGAGATGGACTGCCTCGGAAAGAGAACTGAGTAGAAGTTCGAGGCTTTAGAAAGACTTAGACCTGTCTGAAAGAAAAGACCAACATGATGCTGAAAGAGCCTTCCTGGAATGCTAGAATTTCCTTACTATGTCCTTTTTTTTCCAGCAGAGTCTTGAAAGTATAGTTTGTAATCACACAGTTCCACTGGTTGCTTTAGTCACCAGTTACTCTTTTTCTGTTTTAGTATTCAGTTAACCTATAGGAGGTTTCAGGCTAATAGGTTTCTCTTGAGAAAATGAGACAGCAGCAGTCTTCTGCTGTGTTCCAGTCTTGGGTGGGCCAGAATGCTAAAGCTCTGTAATAGTAATATATTTTACAGTGGGAAGTTTTATTTGTGGATGCTAACTTACCTGGAGGTTTGAGATTTTTAGGATTTTTAGGAAGTTTGTTGATAAATGGACAAACTGTTTAAATATAGAGCACAGTGTCAATAAGTTCTCCTGCAGGAATGACTGTCAGCTATTTGTATTAAAAATAGCATTATTAATAAATGAGGGGTTTGGGTTTGTTTGGTTGGGTTTTTTTAATATTGGAACCATATGGTGATATAATAATAAAAAATTCTTCAGCAGGTCAAATTCTCCCTAAAAGAAAACAATTATTCTGTGACAGGTCAACTAGAGTTCCAAAGGCTTTTTTTCTTATAAATTACAGGATGCTGAAAACTTTGTAATGTTTGATTGAGAGAAACCCTTCTTACTGTCAATGCTTAGCTACAGGAAAACTCAGCGAGAACCTTGCCATACAATGCACAAGCTATATTTTTGTTTGGGATTTTTTTTAATGCCTCTTTTCCAATATTGTCCTACCTCTGAAGCTATTGATAAAAGGAAAAAATACACTATTATTATTTTTTTTTTTCTTCTCCCCAGAGATAAGAAGCACATGGCTGATGGTGTAAGTGATGCTGTAGTGGACATTTTAAGCATGGAAATGGAAGTTGACAAATTGGAAGCAATGAAAATCCTGGCTATGCTTCGAGAAGCAAAACGATATTTGCAGGATGTTTGGAGCTAAATATTTAGCTTTTCCTATGCCCTTGTAACACAAAAGATTTCGTTTCACACATATGCTTTTGAGTAAAAGTTATTGTCAAAAGTGCTGTCTAGTCACCCAAATCTTAACTTTATCTATTGACCTTTCAAGCAGGAATATGAAACCTTTTAAATGACAACAAGCCAGGCTGCCTTTTGAAGTGTGTGGGTTTTTAACGATGTTACATAATGGACTGTCTCAGTGCCTTGATTCTCTCATTTTAAGATTGGATTAATGTAGAAAGTAAAAACTTTTGTAGTTGCACAAGTGTAATTGTACATTTACATCATATATTTTCTCCTATAATGTACACATAAAGAAGCTTCAGAGTAAATATGTTACACGCTGATCTATGCGTCATCAAATACATTACTGACTTGCCAAGATTTATTTGAACACTTCCTAGATACTTCCTGAGACTTTATATTTTTTCAGCTTGCACAATGACAGTAACGGCCAAAAGGAATGAATGTTCGGAATGTTGCACGGAAAGGTTACTGCAGAATTTCAACTCTGAATTTTTCTTTAAATACTTAGCTTTTTCATTCCTTCATTACATCATATCTCACAGTTTTTCTACACTCCATGCTAATCCTTATTAGATTTTCCTGCATAATTTTTTTGAAATTATTTTAATTCCTGTCTCTAAAATGTTCGTGGTTTAACTTATGCGCAGACTCACCCATTGGGTTCAATTTGGTTGCTGGAGAAATATTGCTTAGTAAATACTTTCTCAGATTACCAAACTTTTTTTTTTTTTTTTTTTAAGTTGAAGACAACATAAAATACGGTGTTGTGAAAGCAGATGCCCTTACTTATCACAATCCACTGCAAAAATAGAAGTTGTTGAAAGCAAATTGTTGAAGTATCTGGTCGCTTTCTAACAACGGCCATTTGGAGTGCAAGTAGGTGGACAAGTGAAAGTGTAAGTCAGTCACACTCCTCTTCAGATCCCTCCTCTCTTCCCTCTGCTCTTTCTAACTTCTAAACATCCATATTGTTTTCTTGGTTCCTTGTCATACTTAGGTCTTTAAAGATAAATACGAAGTACTTGCATATCACAATACAGAAGTAGTGATGACCATTTTGGTAATACTGCAGGTAATAGCATAACACCTTTGGGATATGAACAGTTGAGTGCCCTTTTCTGATTGTGTGTATTGCAGTTGACAGGGTCTGATACACAACCGGTGTCTGTGCATTTCCCCTCTTCTGTAATCAATTCTCTACAAAACTAAAATACTTGGATTATTTAGTAATGTAGTGGTAAATCCGTAGCAAAGCGCATGAGCTTTATTAGGATCCCTTAGAACAAAAAAAAAAAAAAAATAATTGCAGCTTGCTCTTAAATTTAAATATGCATGGTGCAAAGCCCAATGTTTAAACTAAAATAACCCCGACAAACACCACCCTGTGTTAGCTGAAGGAAGTATTTTTGCCTTCTCATTCAGTGACATTGAACAAGCAGGAAAGGCAGGGAGGAAAGGACTTCTCAGATACAGCAATCATGGCGATGGAGAGGGCTTGCAGTAAGAACTATGTGTTTTTCTTAATTAAATTGTGTCTCTCTGTAATTGGATAGTGCTGATTTATGACTCCTCAGTGTGTCTATTAGAAAAGCGTACAGGGCTGGATTTTACCATGTCTCCTAAAGCTAAGGAGGGGATTTTTTTTAACATCTTTTAGTTTTCTTTCATTAGAGAAATACCATGTATGTGCTTTTCCTCACAATTCCAGAACTGGTTACAGAATTCCTTTGTCATTTAAAAGAAATAGTGAAGGTTGTGTGCTGTTTTTTTTATTTGAGAGGCTAGTAACAAGGACTGGTTGTTACGCTAAAGCTGTTGTTCCAGAGAAGCATTAATGATGAAGAATTCCTTATGGCCTGTTTTCTCATTAGTTTTTGAATGTTGTTCTGAATTTGTGAAAAAGGGTTGATGTTACAATTTCTCTTTTAATCTACAGTTTCAACAGAGGGTTTAGTTTTCAGATTACTACACTCATACCAGATTTCTTCAGTGTGCTGCTTCTAAATTCAAGCTGACTTTACTGCACCTGAAAGCCAAAGTAGTACTTCCATGTTTCTTCCACCTCTATTTCCTCTCCATTTCCTTCACCCTTCTCTCCCAGCTTTTCAGGAAATCTAGAATATTGGCAGAAATAGGATGAATATGCCTTTTTAGCAGTCTCTGAAGATACTGAGGATCTTGAGAAGTTTCTTCTGAAAAATGATAAAGCCGGATGAGAGAAATGGCAAAATCACAGAACATGACTCGCGTGTCAGTTTAAGGATTGATCTTCGCTACTGAATGGCACTTTCGGTATTGAATGGCGCAGGGATTGGGGGGGAGAGCTTTTGGAAGTAAAAGTCCAGGTTGATTAAGTCTCAAAATAAAATAAGCTTGTGGAATAAGGCAGGGGCTGCGTTGCCAACAATAGAGTTTGTAGGCAATTTGAAAATATGCAAATAGCTTTTTCCCTCTTTCACCATTCCACGTTATCAGCAACCATGATTTGGAGATGAATCCAACAGCGTTTTTCTCAGAATGAAATGTTTTGTTCTGAGGAAACTTAGGTCACTGAGCTGAAACATTTTGAGGGGTTCTCCAAACATTGCTTTATTTGGTAGAATTGGCTTGGCCTCCGTAAATACTTTTATTCTGCCCAACTTTGTGAGTAGAACAGGAAAAGACTTTAAAACAAACAAACATAGAAAATGCAAAAAGCCAAACAAAACCCAAACCCTTGGCTGATGAACTTTGCTGTTTACCTCAAAGGAACAGGGCAACATCAAGCTGCGAGCTGTGCTTGTTGAACCTGTTTCACACAGGGTTTGATCACTCCTGGGGACTGCGTTGTGTGTTGCAGTCTGCCTGCTTCCTTTGGAAGTTAAGCCCCAAGGCTGCAGTTTTTGGCTTAACTGCATTCCAGTTTTACTTTGGAACTATAAATGGAGGAAAACAGTTATTAGCATAAGAGAAAGTGAGTCTAGTAAGTCTTGTCAGTAATGTACTTGGGAATCATTGCTCATAACTCTCCCTTTTTGTCTTTGGTACTTCTGTTACTCTGTCTGAGCACTTGCCAGCTATGTACACGACCCTAAGAGCTGTTCCTCTGCACTGCTTTTAGATAAACTTACCTTAATCTTATACAAAGGGAAACCCGGGCAAGGAAAGGTTGCTGAATTGCCCAAAGTAAAGAAGGAAATAAATAGAGACTTGAGCTGCTATTTCTCCAAGTTTAGCTCACAGACCCGTCTTTCTCGTGCATTTCCTCAATAATTGCACTGTCTGATACCACAGAAAATCTAGTTACTTTCCAAACATGCAGAGGTGTTTTTTAATAATAAGTTTGAGTAACTTTTTGTACAGTGGGATGGAAAAGTCTAAGCTTCGGACTTTGTGGGAAGGGGTAGGTCCCGCTGTGCTCTGCGTGAATTCTGTCCTGGGACTGATGCGTCAGAGGTGCCAGCCATGGGTGCGTGAGGTGCGTGTGTCGGCGTGGGAGTGTCGGTGAGCATCAAGCCAGACTGGCCAGCAAGAGGGTAAGCGTCTTGCGAGGCACGTACATGTGTGCACATGTCTCCCGTGAGACAGCTGGAGGAGTTGGCTGCTGGAGGGACCAAAAATGTTCGGGCCAACTGCTGGAGGGACCGCAAGCCCTGGGGGTCAGCTGCGGCCAGTTTGCACGTCTGTGTGTGTGTGGCTGTGTGCAAGGCAACTGGGGAGAGTGGGGATCCAGGGCCAGCTACTGGGTGGACTGTGTGTCTAAGCCCAGCTACTGGTGGGATCCACAGCGTATGTTTGTTGGAGGGATCGCATTTGTATGTGTGTAGGTATATATTTCGTACTAACCGCCTTTAGGTCAGCTGGAGACAGGGATAACTGCTGGCTGGAGCTGGGGTCACTCCCAGGTCAGATTACGGCCTGATACCAACTGCTGTATGTGCATAGACCAGGGAATCTTCTTGCCCTCGAATTTCATCCTTGAAAGAATGCACTTTAAAATGTATTTTTAAGTAAAACCCCAAGCCTATATTTGCCTAAACTTAGTGGTTTGGGATTTTTTTTTTTTTTCTATTACATCCCCTGGTATTTAGTGCATCCGGTGTAACTGAAGATGAGGCCATGTGTGGGAACAGGTGTGCTTTCCTACATGTGCAGCCACAAACAGATTTTGTAGCGGAGGTCTTGTGCCTGCTCCTCCCACAACCCCAGTTGCACAAATGACTGCCCATGTGTAGAGGGCTAAGCAGACATTTGGTGATGTCCCGAGCCATTTCTTACTCCTGTGACATCCTGGTTACCCCCAACTACTCTCGGTGTAGCTGAATGGCTGGGGATTAACACGTTACCTGCTGCCACCACCTCTTCAAGCCACTACGAGGTGGTTTGTTAAAATGCCCCCTTTTTTTTTTTCCCTCTACCTGTGCCAGTCACGCCAGCTATCTCAGTGGCCAGCATCAGGCGTGGCAGCACCGCTCGTCCCCTTGGGCAGATTCCAGACCAGAGGTCTCTGAAGCCCAGGTGTTGCGTAGCTTATTCTCAGGAACATGGTGAAGTCCTGTTGTGGGGGTGGGTTGGTTGGTTGGTTTGTTTGCTTGTTTTTTTGACAAGGTCCCTCTACCTGTGCCAGTCACGCCAGCTATCTCAGTGGCCAGCATCAGGCGTGGCAGCACCGCTCGTCCCCTTGGGCAGATTCCAGACCAGAGGTCTCTGAAGCCCAGGTGTTGCGTAGCTTATTCTCAGGAACATGGTGAAGTCCTGTTGTGGGGGTGGGTTGGTTGGTTGGTTTGTTTGCTTGTTTTTTTGACAAGGTCTTTTTTATTGTTCCCATCGGCTGCATCCACTGTTGCATATTAGCTTCAGGTATGTCCCGCTCTTAGGGAGACTCATGGGATGCTGAAGGATTTTTCTCTTCCTTATCCAGCAGAAATATCCGTGCAGCAGGATATTTCTTCTGGTGGAAGTGTCTTCCTCGCTTGATCCTTCATTCTTCTGTGATGATTTTATTTATATTTCTTGTCCTTTCAGATTATTTTTTTTAATAGAGCCCAGCAGTGATAACGAGTTTCTGTTAAGGGTTTTAAGAGCACTTAGCAGGCAGCTTATATTGTTTAATTTTTGTTCAGCTGGTTAGATAGAATCAAGACAGCGGTAGTGTCACTATTCCAATATATTAAATGAAAAAAAATACTCTATTTCTACTTGTTAGATATTCTTCAATTTCCTGCTTGTTCTTTGTGGTCATTCATCATGCTGGTTTTGTCTGGCACAGAGTTAGTTTTCTCCATAGTAGGTAGTATGGGGCTGTATTTTGGATTTGTGCTGCAAACAGTGTTGAGCAGTG